ATTTGACTATGGAAATTTATTTTCTTCAGTGCTGTGTATCAAACCCAGGGCTAACCAGGCACTCTACTATTGAACTCTACCTCTTGTCCTTGAAGTAGAAATCTTTTTTTTGGCAGTGGAAGCTCCAGTTAAATCCTACTATGCTCCTCTATGAGAGAGCCAAGCTCAGGGGTTGGAGTTTTATAGGACTTTAGCCCAGTGTGCCCAGGGACGACTCTAATCCACACCTAAGTTGTAGCTAGGAATCCTGGCTCTGGAGTCCATTAATGTGGTTATCCAATTCTACCATTTGTCAGCTGCAAACGTTGAATGAGTTGGGGAACCTTCCTAAGTCTCGTTTTGCTCGTCTCTGAATGCATGTTGACTCATAGATGAAGTTAGGAATGAATGTATACAAAGCTCTTTGTCTTTTTGAGGCAGGGCCTCACTATGCAGTTTAGGCTGACTTTGAGCTCGCTTTCTAGCCCAGGCTGGTCTCGAATTTGCAAAAATCCTCCTGCCTCAGCCTTCCAGGCGCTGGGATTACAGGCTTCTTTGAACATTTCTATACCTAATCTGCATCAGTCAAAATGAATTTTTAGCTGGAGACTACTATTTTGTGTTTTGTCCTTGAAAAAGTCTGGAATTTGCCAGGCATGGTGGTGCATGCCTGTAATCCCAGCACTTGGGAGGCAGAGTCAGGAGGATCACCACGAGTTTGAGGGCATCAAGGCCATCCTGGACTGCAGAGTGAGATCCTGTCTCAGATAGAAAAGAAAGAAAGGGGCTGGGGATTTAGCTCAGCGGCATAAGTGCCTGCCTTGCAAGCAGGCAGTGTGAGTTCGATCCCTGGTACCGATAAAAAGAGAAAAGACAAAAAAGAAAAGAAAGAAAAAGAAAGAAAGAGGATATAAATAAAGGAAATTTTTCTGTTCCTTAATGGAGCCTCTTAAATTAGGACTTTTGTCTTTTTTTTTTTTTTTCCCCTTTCTGAAAAGAGCTGTAGGAGAAGCCATCAGGATGGAAGCCAATCTCCAATCTGATATGAAGTTGTCTCTGAGCTTTGGCCGTTTTCTTGTTTTTCCTGACCTTTTTTTTTTTTTTTTTTTTTTTGAGATTGGTTTTGCTGTGCAGTTTAGGCTGACCTTTAACTCACAGTGATCTTTCTGCCTCAGCCTCTTGAATGCTGGGATTACATGTGTGCACCACCACACCTGGAGACATTTTTTTTCTTTCCAGATTGTTATTTCCACAATAAATGTGTTGAGCACAAGCTCAGGACTTCCAAGCTATTCTTCCTAGCCTGGCCCAGACCCTTCCCCTTTTGTGGGGGGGGATAGGTGGGAGACTGCATTTGCTTGTTTTGAAACATGGTCTCAATGTGTCACCCAGGCTGGCCTCCAGCTCACAGCGATCCTTCCTGCTTCCTTCAGCCTCCTGAGTGCTGGGATTACAGGTGTGAGCTACCACTCTGTTACTTTTATTTTTGTCTTTTTGAGACAGAGTCTCACTATGCAGTTCAGGCTGGCCTTGAGCTCATTTTATAGCCTATGCTGATCTCGAATTTGCAATGATCCTCTTCCCTCAGTCTCCAGGGCTGGGATTACAGGCATGCACCACTACACCTGGCTTGCAGTCTGATACTTTTTAGATTCAGTAATGCTACCTTCTAGCTGTGAGTTGACAGCTTTATGGAAGCTTAGAATAAAAAACTATCAAATATATGCTTTGCTTATCACATTTTGTGCTGGGAGATGTGATAGTGTGTGTGTATTTTGTAAGACAGGCCCTGCGGCTTCCAAAGCTCAGAGCCACAGTGATTTGGGCAGGAGAGCAGAACCTCAGTGCCTAAATAAGGATTTGCACATGGGGTGAGGGTCAACAGCAGAGTTAAGGAAGTAGTCCCCAGATGGGTGCAGACTGGGAAGAACATAGAAACTATTGAAGCAGGTGAGAATATTTTCACAGGGATTCACCCATGCAGAAATACTGGTGAGCAAGCACTAGCCAAGTTCTGATTATGTGTGTGTCACCGGATCTAAGCAGAGGGAAATGACTGGCCAGATAGGGAGAAGTGTGGATGACGGCTGAGGGAACTTAGGCAGGGCTGTTGTGAGGGAAGGACTTGACCAGCTTTATGGTTTTGAGCTCAGGAATGGAAAGAAGGCTCAGAAATGTGAAAACCTCTGTCCATAGAGATGTGAAGGTACCTTCTAACACTTTCTGGATGCCCCTGAGCTGTCATTTTCCTTAGAAACCTCATGTGCTTCCCTGGAATAAGGGCCCTTTCTTCTTTTATTCCTCCAGGCTCCAGCCCTGAAAACCCAGGTTGTTTTTTTTTTTTTTTTGTCTTTTTCATTTTTATCTGTACGGAGGATCGAACTCACGACTGCCTGCTTGCAAGGCAGGTGCTTGTGCCACTGAGGTAAATCCCCAGCCCCGAAACCCAGAGTTTTTACATTGAACTATATGCCCAGCTTTTAAAATTTTTTTACTGTATTTTCAGACAAAGTCTTACAAAATCACTAAGTTGCCCAGACTTGGCTTAAGTTCACAATCCTCTCGCTTCAGCCTCCCAGAGTGCTGGGATTACAGATCCCAGCCATCATGGGCAGCTAAGCTGAATGGTTTTGTATTAGAAAGTTATCATGCCATTAAGAACAATACTGACAGGAGGGAAAAATTTTTTATATTTTATTTTTTTGAGACTTGGTCTAGTATGTAGTTCAGGCTGGTCTTGAACTTATTTTGTAGCCCTGGCTGGTCTAAAACTCAGCAATTCTCCTGCCTCTGCCTTCTAAATGCTAGGATTACATATGTTCACCACCACATCTGACTTCAAAAAAAATTATTAGTACTTTTGTAGTACATGATTACATTCATCTTGAGTTCATGTGTATATATAATATAATACATTTTAATTGTTTTTACTTCCCCTCATCTGTTTTTGTGCCCTCTATCTTACTCACAGGGACAGTGAACATATGGCACAGATGTGACTTATTTTTGTTTGACGACAGATGTTAATAGGGTTTTTTTGTTTGTTTGTTTTATTTATTTATTTTTTTCGTCTTTTTGGGACAGGGTCTCATTATACAATTCAGGCTGGCCTTGAGCTCATTTTGTAGCCCAAGCTGGTCTTAAACTTACAACAATCCTTCTGCTGTAGCCTCCTGAGTGTTGGGCTTACAGGCATGAGATTTTTTTTCTAAACTAAAACCTCAGTATTCAGGTTTTTCTGGGAAGGGGTGTTTTGGCTTTTGTTTTGAGACAGGGTCTTGCTATGTAGTGTAGGTTGGCCTTGAATCTACCTCAGTCTCCCAGAGTGCTGGGGATTATAGGTGTGTACTAGACATGGGTCCTACATCCATCCCACTTGTTGATTTGTTTCTTGGCAAAGTGTGACCTGGAACACACTTGTTTTTCTATGTACATTCCAGGCACATGCTTTCTCCTCTGCTTGTTTTAGACTTTTCTGAATGTTTCTTAGTCATCCCAGCAAACAGCTTCTATTTTTAGTGCCACTACCTCCTAGGAGACCTAAAATAAAGCTGGTTTAGTTCCCCAGCCCCTCACTGGCTGTAGTGTTGGTCATAGGCTGGGAGGTTGGTTATCCCTCCTCACTGCCATTCCCCAGTGGCTTCTCTAGCTTTGAGTTAAGCCACAGAATTGGAGTTAGCACTTAACCATATTGAGCAAGGAATTTACTAGGTTGTTTTAGTGAAGCTGTACAGCCACAGAGAACGTCAGCAGGGTTAGGGTCCCTATTTTACAAAAGAGGAGGATGAGGAAGGAGTCTCTTTAGGCAGTGACTTACAACAAATCTGCTGATGGTTGTTTGCTGTAGTCATATCTACCTACTCACTGCTTTGGCTCAGAGTTAGGATAGGGTGTGTGTTCCTTTATACTCAGACAACTGCAAAACATGTAGTACTGAGTCCTCAGGGAGATGCAAAGCCAGCAGAGTGGCTCTCACCTGCAGCTCAGAATTTCCACTGTGTCCTTGGGATCATGGTCTCAAACTCCTCTCAGATAGCCTGTGGTGGTGGAGGTAGTACTTGGGTTGAGGATGTGGTGAAGAATGACACAATTCACCTCCCTATACCCCTCAGCTGAACTCATGTTCTTAGCTTTGAAATAGGAGAGTCATCCTCATCAGTGAAGAAATGTCTCAGAAAGGGCCAAGTCAGGTATCACCTGACCTCACAGATATCAGCTGCCCTCTTGAGACTGAGGGAGTCATTGACTCTTTTTTGTCAGAAGTGGGAACTTGAGATTTGAGGATGTATCTCAGAACACTTGCCTAGCTTACACAAGACCCTGCATTCAATCCCCAGTAACGCCCCTACCATTACCACCAAAAAAAAAGTGAGGATCTGAACCTTCATCTGCCAACAAAGAACTGCAACAGTGTTGGGAACCCGAGGGCTAGAGTAGAAATCTACAAAATGGGAAGAAAACAATAATAGGTTTTGCAGGTCATTGAAAGAATTAAATAAAAAAAAAATTGTGGGCTAAGGTAAATCCTTAGCTCTTCCTTCAAGGCCCTTCCTCTTACTGGACATTGTAAGGCCTGCTCTGATTTTTCTTTTATCATGACTCCACGCTCAACACCCATCCTATATGCTTCACAACCCTGGCACTTCTCTCTCATGAGCCAGGAACTCCTGGAGGAAGGGGTAAATCTCTGTTCCCAGCACTGGAAAGAATCTTTCAACCAGGTATGGTGGCACATGCCTGAAGTCCCAGGACTTGGAGACTGAGGCAGAAGGATTACCATGAGTTCAAGGCCATTGTGGACTATATAGTGAAACCCTGTCTCAAAAAGCAAGAAGGAAAATTCTATTAAAAGGAAAAAAAAAGTCTCCTACAAATCCCCAGGGCCTAACCCTGTTCCCTGAGTCAGCAGACCTCAGCAAGGGACCCCTTGTGCAAGGAAGTCAGGAAATGGTAGGAGTCAGTAACTACTATCTCTTGTTCTGTAGTACCAATGCTTTCTGTCTATCTTCCTGGTTTTGCAGGTCTCAGTGATACCGGGTGACACTCCAGAATGGGAGACAAACCAATTTGGGAGCAGATTGGATCCAGCTTCATTCAACATTACTACCAGTTATTTGATAATGACAGAACCCAACTAGGCGCAATTTATGTAAGTCTCTAGCACTAGAGTTAGAATAGAACTCTGGAGAATAAATTCAGAGCTGGACTGGCTGTACCTCTCTACCTGAGTTTCTATCCATGGGTCAAGGCTTAAGCCTGAACCAACTACTGTGTATGGTATATACATTTCCTTCTATCATCTTGTGGAATAGGGATTCTGGTATCCTGAATAGAGAGTTCTGGATCTTCTATTATATGCACCCCAGACCTATCAGAATACTTGGTTGTAGCCAGGGATGGTGGTACACATTTATAATTCCAGCACATATGACGCTAAAGCTAGAGAATCTCAAGCGCAAGTCTAGCCTGAGCAACTTAGTGAGACCCATGTTAAAATTTTTTTTTTTTTGTTTTTTTCCTTTTTATCGATACCGGGGATCGAACTCATGACTGCCTGCTAGCAAGGCAGGCGCTTATGCCACTGAACTAAATCCCCAGTCCCGGTCTTTTTCGTTTTTATCGGTACCAGGGATCGAACTCACAACTGCCTGCTTGCAAGGCAGGCGCTTATGCCGCTGAGCTAAATCCCCAGCCCCATCTTAAAATTTTTTAAAGGGCTGAGAATGCTGTTCTGTGGTTGAGCATTTGTCTAGTATGTATGAAGCCCTAGATTCAGTCTCCATTACTACAAGAAAAAGAATAAAGAAGAGCCATTTTGAAAAAAAAAAAAAGAGAGAGAGAGAGAGAATCTTATTAATAAAAGACCAAATCTATCACAAGTATTATTTGACTGTTGTTATGAGTGGATTTTTCCAGTGCAAGGCCTCTCAGATAGCCTGTGGCGGTGGAGGTAGTACTTGGGTTGAGGATGCATACAAGGCAGGCACTCTGCCACTAAGCTATGCCCTCAGCCCCTCTCATATTCCTCATATCCATTCTCCAACCTCAATATTGAGGATTGAACCTGGTGCCTCACACATATTAGGCAAGTACTGTAACACCAACCTACCTCCCTAGCCAGATGGTTTAGCAGTACTGGGATTAAACCTGGAACCTTTACATTGGATACATCCTCAATAATTTAAAAATTGCTTTATTTACTTGTTTATTTATTTTGATTTTTTTGAGACAGGATCTTGCTATGTAGTTCAGGCTGGCTTTGGTCTCTGTGTAGCCCAGGCTGGCCTCAAACTCACAGTGATCCTCCTGCCTCAGTCTCCCAAGTACTGGGATTACAGATGTGTACCACCACACTCAGTTGAAGATTGCTTTTATTTTGAGACAGGTTTTTATTACACACTTGGCAATCCTGTCTCACTGTCCTAAGTGATAAGATTATTATATTACCTTTCTTTCTTTCTTTCTTGCTTGCTTGCTTGCTTGCTTTCTTGCTTGCTTTCTTTCTGTCTTTCTGTCTGTCTTTCTTTCTTTTTTCTTTCTTTCTTTCTTTCTCTTTCTTTCGACAGGGTCTCATTGTGTATTCCAGGCAGCTCCTTGAACCTCTCAGCAGTCCTCCTGCCTCAGCCTCCCAAGTGTTGAGATTTTAAGATTATAGGTGTGTATCACCACATCTGGCTACTACTGTTTCTTAATTAAAACAAGCCTGACACAAAGAAGGAAGTTAGTAAGGTCCTGAAAGAGCACTTTGTTTATATTGTTTCATAATCCTCAGCACATTTCACCTTTGAGGATTACAAAACAGACTCAAAAGTAAGTAATTTGTCTAATGTCATCACTGAAAATAATAATAGGTGCACTTCAGTTCTGCCTCTGACTACTGTAGAAAGGAATATTTAGGGCACCAAAGGGCCCTAAAGGGGATTGCATGTGCAATTTTGTCCAGCCATAGGAATGCTCCCCAGACTAAGAGCTGGAAGGCCTTGACAGCTTTTATACCTCCTAGCCTTCAGAACACTACCTGAAAGGACCACAGTAGACCTCAGCCATAGCCTTTAAGATGGTAATAAATATGGTTTGTTTCTGGGGTTGTTCATTTGTTTTTTGAGATAGAGTTTCCCTATGTAGTTTAGATCAGCCTTAAACTCATTTTGTAATCCAGACTGACCACAGTAATCCACTTGGATCCTCTTCCTTCACCCTTTGGAGTGGTGGACTTACAGGTATGCACCACAATACCCAGTGCAAGGTATTTTTAATGACTAAGGCTTCCTGATTATACAGCAGGATGACTTTTGACTGAGTCCTGGCCATCGTGTACCCTTCTGAGGCCCAGGCAAGTCAGAAGCTATATGATGTATAACAATGGGAAATGAACCATAACACATCCTACTCCTAGGACTCTGGAAGACTGAGGTAAGAGGATCACAAGTTCAAACTCAGTCTGGGAAAATAAGCAGCTTAGTGAGACCTTGTCTCAAAATAGAAAATAAAAAGGGCTGTGAATGTAGCTGAGTACATAGGCCTTGGGTTCAATCCCCAGAAATGCAAAGGGAAAAAAGAAAGGGATATGAGCCAAGAGTATTGGTGCACACTTGGAATCCCAGCTAGTTGGGACGCTAAGGCGGGGGGATTTCAGGTTCTAGGTTAGCTTGGACAACTTAGTGAGATCCTGTCTCAAAAAATAAAGGTTTTGGGGCTGGGGATTTAGCTCAGCAGCATAAGCGCCTGCCTTGCAAGCAGGCAGTCATGAGTTCGATCCCTGGTACCGATAAAAACGAAAAAGACTAAATAAATAAATAAATAAATAAAGGATTGGGGATATACCTGAGAGATAGAGTACCCATAGTTTTAATCTTTAGTACCATACACACCAGAAAAATGAAAAGGTATGTGACTTTGAAAAGTATATTTTATTGCATTCTTTCAGACTGCTGGGAGTGGTGGCACATGCCTGTAATCCCCAGCACTTGGGGAGCCTAGGCAGGATTGCTGTGAGTTTAAGTCCAGCCTGGATTATAACATGAGTTCAGGGTCAGCCTGAACTACATAGCAAGGCCCTGTCTCATAAAGACCAAAAAAAGTCTTTTAGAGCCTGGGCCCATGGAAAAAATGGGATATAATGTTAAAAGTTGTTGATAATGTAAAGTTTCGGAGCAACCCTTAGTTTACCTGTTCACAAACAAGGAAACAAGTATTGGGTACTTTTCCATCTCTAGAACAAAATACCTGACACCTACAATTTAAATAAAGAGAGATTTATTTTGGTTCATGGTTTTCAGATAATTCACCCCGTGGTTGATTGGTTCCAAGGCAGAAAGGCGTGGTCGAAGGACATGGCAGAGGGCAGCTGTTCTTCCCATTGGCAGCCAGAAAGCAGAGAGAGAGAAGGTGCTGGGAGCAAAAATACACCTTTCCAGATCACGTGCAGAGTGACCCACCCTTAAGGAAGCCCTACCTCCTAACAGCGTATTAGCTACCTGTGATCCAATCCTCATCTAAACACTTGGAACATTGTTTTAGGGGACATTTTAGATCTAAACCTGAACAGATACAGACTTATGTTTGTAAGAAAGTTTCTTATCAGGATTTTTTTCAGGGCCTTAAAGATACTCCTTATACTCAGAGTCTGACTGTGGGTTTTCTGTGCATTTTTCAGATTGATGCATCATGCCTTACGTGGGAGGGGCAGCAGTTCCAGGGGAAAGCTGCCATTGTGGAAAAATTGTCTGTAAGTAAGAGCCAGAGCTAGGGTGTGAGTTACTTCTTTCCTTTTCTGGCCTCAGCCCACTGCTTATTTTTTTCTTTTGCAGAGCCTTCCGTTCCAGAAAATTCAGCACAGCATCACGGCACAGGACCATCAGCCTACACCAGATAGCTGCATCATCAGCATGGTTGTAGGCCAGCTCAAGGTAATAGTGCTGGGGAGGTATGGGTAGGCAGGGCAGAGTCCTGGGCCCCTACCTTCCTTGTAATGAGACCTACTTATCAAGAGACACCCCAAATGACTGTCTAGACCTGTATACTACAATATAATATCCTTTAGCCACTTGTAGCTTTTTATTTGTTTGCTATGCTAGGGTTAAACCCAGAGCTTTGCACATGCTTACCAAGTGCTGTATCACCAAACTATATTTCCTGCTCTGCAATTTTTAATTTATATTAAAATTAAATAAAATTAAAATTGAATTCTTCAGTTGTACTAGGTATACTTTTTAAGTGTTCATGGTGCAGTATATGTGGATACTTTTTTGAAACCACATTTCTGTGATTATAGAAACTGTTGATGGAAAACTCAGGATTAGGTTCTTTTTGGAAAAGGAATAAGAAGTATAGAAGGAGAGTTGGACTGTGGTACCAAGCATTTGGGTCCTCATCCTGCCCCACAGTGTAGCTGGCTAGTTGGGTGCTGTGGGGCAGTCCCTTGCTGAAGCCCATTGTGCCACTCACTAAGCTGGCTCCTCGTCTGCCAAAGGAAATTTCTGGAACTTACCTTGCATTTTTCTTTCTCCTTTTAAAGACCTGTCATCCTCACAACCTGGCTATGACCCCTCAGATCCCCAGAAATTTAAAGAAACATATTATGCTTCAGCAGATTAAAGCCAGATTTACAAAGTAGGAAACATTTACTTCCCCTTGGACAGACCTTAGCATCCTGGAATATATCAGAGCAACAGATTCACATACATTCTTTCTAGGCATACTAGATCGGATAGGGCTTTCTTCATTTAAGGTGGGCACAGAGGAAAAGTCACCCTAGACATCTGCTTTGGACCCAGAGGGACCTGCTTTCTGGCCTGGGACTTTTCCATCAGTTTTCTCCTGCCTATTCAGGATGTTCTGTCTAAATGGAGCCTGTGCCCAGTAGTCCTTAGGATAAAGTAGAATTCTTCAGAGAGCTTTGTGTCAACTTTCTTAGGCTGGAATAGTAAACAGTGTCCTTTTTCATCTGGTTTTAGATTCTTGTTGGTATTGTGTCCCAGCCAGAGCCCCAAATAGCTGATTTGAGTCTGCTGACATTAATTCCCAGAAAAAGTAAAGTAACAATAGAGATGGTTAGCTGGGATTCTACAGCTAGGCCTCATCCTTGTTTACTTTTTCTTTTCTAAGAAGGAGAAGTTTATTTTTCCTCAAAGTGTCCTTGTTTTCTGCATTTTGGCTGGAGGTTTTTCTTTTTCTTTTTTTCATTGCAATGATATATATTACATGGCTGTAATCCTAGCACTTGGGAAGCTGAAGCAAGAGAATTGCTGTGAGTTCAAGATCATCCTGGATTACTTAGTGAGTGTTCAAGGCCAGCCTGAACTGCAGAGCAAGACCCTTTCTCTAAAAAAGAAAAAAATATATATATTATACAATAGGAAACTTCTGCCTTGCAAGCAGGCAGTCGTGAGTTCGATCCCCGGTACCGATAAAAAAGAAAGAGACCAAAAAAAAAATTCCCCACTGTTTATAGTTTTTGATACTGTATGTTACATGATAAGTACTACAGGATACTTTCAGAATTTTTACCATATATGCCAAGAGATGTGGGTTTAAAGGCAAGTGTGTCTTCTCTATCACTGTAACAAACTGGTAAATTGTGTTTTAAGTGTACAGGCAGTGCAAGCCCTGTCCATTGGCCTCTACGTGCCCAGTGCAGTGTTCCACACATTATATCAGTTCATACTCACAAGTACCCTTGGGCTGTAATAAATTGAGTCCAGGACAGTAAGGCCTGTCTGCATGCCAAAGTCTGCATTCTCTGCTGCATTCTGCTATCACTGAACTATTTCCTGTTCCTTGACCCCTTTATTGAATCTTTTTCTTTTTCTTCACAGGCTGATGAAGACCCCATCATGGGGTTCCACCAGATGTTCCTATTAAAGAACATCAACGATGCTTGGGTTTGCACCAATGATATGTTCAGGCTTGCTCTGCACAACTTCGGCTGACCTCCTCCCAGCCAGGCACTCATGCTGTTTCCTCCTCCCTCCTCTTACTGATACTATCACACTCCTCCAGATGCTCCAAATATCATACACAAGCGAGCAGGGCCGTGGTGGAAGTGGGTGCGGTGCGCTGCTGCCACCACAGTGTTGTGCATGATGTTTGGATGCTAGACTAGTTGCATCTGACAGGAGAAGTTTGTGTTGTACCAGCGCATGCCTTGGAAAGACTTTAAGTAATGCAAAAGGTTGTCCTTTTTTTTTTTTTTTTTTTTTAATCTACTGACAAGTTGCTCTAGTAACCCAAAGAAGTGAAGGAGAAAGCAGCTGCCTCACCACCCAAATATTGATTTGTTCAGATGTTTCAATGCCTCATGATACAATAAAACCACAAAAATTTTCTTAACAGTTTAAATTGTTTTAATTAGTTTAATAGTTGACTGGACATCAAGAAATACTCTGACCCATTATCTCTCATGTCTTACCCTCCACCTCTGTCCCAACTCAGCCTTACCTACTGCAAGGAGAAAAAGTGGCTGAAGCACAATAGAAGCTTGCTTCCTTCAGCACCAGTAGGGTAGATTTCTCTCCAGGCTACCTGGTCTTGGAAAAGTAAGCAAGGAAAGCTCAGAATTGATCTGATGCTCCCTTTGCATTGAAGCCTTTCTGCCGTCAGTTTTGATGCCTCCTGCAACCTCTGCCCTGGGTAGGTTCAAGGCTTTAGTAACAAGACTGAATTCTGTTGCAGTTGGAGAGGTCTTGGCACACATGGCCACCAGATCAGGCTCTTTGAGCTTGATGGGGGAGCCTAGTCTATCCCCAGAAAGGTCAGGATCATATTTAAGGTTCCCCACATCCCCTGAGCCAAGAAAAAGGCAGCTCAGATTCCTTGTATCTACTCAGGTTATGGTTGCCTAAAGAGCAAACCCCTGTTGGGTTGGGGTATGGAAGATTTGGATCTATGGAAGTCAAGAGAATGAGAGTCATGCTGTAGGAATTCACACCCCTCAGGCCTCAGCAGGGCATTCTTACTCCCTCCATTTCTTTCTCATCACACAACTCCACATTGTCTTCAAATCCGAGGTCTTAACTATTAGGGCAGTTTCTGTTCCTCAGTTTGGGGGACAAAAGCTTTGTGCAATATGAATATAGCCCCTCAGCCCTGAGACCTCTAGATAGTAAAAGAAGCCAAGTAGCAACTGCAAGCTAAAACTAAACCTAGGATTCAGGCTAACTACCTAGGATTCAGGCTAACTAGAGGTTTTAGAATTGGCGGGGGCATCCCCAGCTCAGGCTAATCTGTACTCAGTTTTCCTCTATGAGGGGAGAGTACAGATTTTTTCAGACCACTGGTTGCCTGTCTTCACTTGGCAGAGGGTTGGATGATGTGCTGTTTGGGAGGACAGCATAGTCAGATTTCAGTGGAACTGATATCTAAGCTGCTGTGTATTTGGGGTGGGGAAGAGGTAGATGCCTGCTGCCTCTTAAACCACCCTGTATAAAAATCTGCAATATAGCTTCCTCCATGTACCTATGCCTGATATGTCTGCAATAAAGAGGTGTTTGTAAACTGTGGTTTCTTTCTTCCTAACCTGAGGGTGCTGTGGTGGGACAAGGGATGCTGGGAGCCAGTAGGGAACAATCACATTTGTAAGAACATCTCCCCTGATCTTAGAATTTCTGGCACCTCGGAAATTGGGTTACTACAACCCATTTCCCATACAGGAGATTAGCTTCTATCAGTTCAGTTTATTCCTGCTGGTCTGAGGAAATGATTAGGTCCAGGACTGTCAAAAATTCATAGAGTGGGTAGGGACTGGGTGGGGTCTCCTGAGGCAGGTACAGTTTTGAGCGTCCTGTTCTTGAGCACAGAGGGCATTTGTTATGCTTCATTCTTGTAAAACGTCCTTGACCCTGCGGGTACAGGCCTCAAAGGAGTCAATTCACTCCCAGCACGGAACCTTTTTTCTCTGGCCTTCGCAGGTTCCGGGAGTGCAGGCTTGTGGGAGCCGGAAGTGGAGGCGGTTGGTGGGGTTGGCCCGACTCAGGGACACGGCACTGGTGGCGGTTTGCTATCGTTTTGTGGGTTTCGTGTAGTGACTGGTGTCTTGTCTGAGAGGTCGCTGCCGAGTGAGGCTGGGGGTTGCGCGGCAGCAGCGGAAGGAACGCAGTGCGGGCAGGGCACAAGCGGACGAGCCCATGGCCTCCTGCGCGAGCATCGACATCGAGGACGCCACGCAGCACCTGCGGGACATCCTCAAGCTGGACCGGCCCGCGGGGGGTGAGCGAGTATAGTCGGAGTGGGCCCTTGGCGAGCAGGAAGACGGGTGGCGTGGGTTTGAGCCGCCCTCAGGGCCTGCAGAGCTCTTTAAGTCAGATCGCTGCTGGTGAGGATGTACAAGAGTAGGAGATAGATCCCTGAGCATACTCCGCGAATGGCGCAGACCCCTGGGTGTGATCCCTTCGCATTTTGGCGCCAGACAGTTCTGCCTCGTCCTTCAGTGTCTCGGCTGAAGGTGAGGCTCCTGAATCTGCCAGCTTCTTATGGTTTTCTGGCCCAAAGACATATTCCTGAGACTGGCCCAGCGCCACTATCCTTTCGCCATGGTTCACACGCCTGGTGCAAGCTCCTTTTACCAGTTCTGGGCCTAGAGTTTAAACGCTGTTCTCCTTCACAACTTGCCCTTTCCCCTAGAAAACAGACTCTAACCCTGATGTTGTATCAAGATGATTTTTCTGGAGGAATGTGGTCCTTGACATTTCTGTATTCTTTCTGGAATGAAGGCAAATCACAGACTGCAAGGCCCTAGATTAGTTTACAACCCTAATTTGTTCCCATTCAAATTTTACTTTGGTTCATAGTGATACCCTAAAACTGCTCTTGCTGGCAGGACACAGATAACAGGGTCACAATATGATACTGTCATTGTGAAAGACGATTGCTTTGGTACTATGCTAAGAACGGAGTGGATGTTGAGGGAGCTGGAAATGCAGAGTATAGGTCTGAGGAGACTGTTTAGGCTAGGTCTCAATACAGACAGGAGTGGGTATAGGCTATATCTTATCATATCGACAGGAGCTGGGTGTCAGGAAAGCCATGCAAGACACCTAGGTTTAAAAAAAAAAGACACCTATGTAGATGCCAGACATTATGAAGAAGAAATATAGCACATGTGAAGACAATGAATTTCCTGGCAAATTAAGACCTTCATGAAAAGTTATAGTGGTTGAAGTACTTGCTTCTGATGTGAATGTGCAGTGACCGCAGCTGAGAATTAATGTTTCTTCACAACTTGTTCTTACCTACCGGGACCCCCAGATTGGCTGCTTCTGAAGCAAACACTGGTGTTTTCTGTAAGTGGAATTAGCTAACCCATGGTTTTGGGGAAAATCTATCTACTGTTTGAGACCATGGACCCTTTGCCTCACACCTGGAGTGTGTGTTCCCTTAACTAATCAGTGTGGCTCATGCCTCTTTTTTCCCATTGTCTGCTAAGCAGACTACACTCCAGACATTTGTTAGAGCCTCACATGGTTAACTTTGTGCACTCTGGGCCTGCTGTTTGTTTATCCTTATGATAGGCTGATGTGTCAGGTTATCCTTGAATACCTAAAGTGACTATGATCCTAGTGAAGTGGCCAAGTGGATTTCCTCAGAACTCCATAGTTGATTGGCACTTATCACGTAGTCTTGTTCATCCCCTCTGATTGAAGAATCGAATAAGACCTCATACTGGTTTGTTTGTTTTGTACTGAGAATCAAACTCATAACCTTGTTCTTGCCAGTCAGGTGCTGTACCATTAAGCTATATCCCTAAACCAGTTTTTTGGTTTTTTTCAAATTCTATTTTATGACTTGGAAACATCTGTGTTCCTGAAGCTGTAGTCTCCTTGCTACCTTCAAGTTCAGACAGTGGTGTCAGAGCCAATAAGAATGTTTGAAACCTAGCCATTGCAAACAGTTGAAATGCTGAGTCCTAACTCCATACCCTACTCCACAGTTTCTGTTTGTCTCTCTGTCTGTCTCTGTTTCTCTTTGGTTTTTTTGAGACAGGGTCTCACTATGTAGTTCAGGTGGCCTTGAACTTCCTTTGTAGCCCAGGATGGCTTCAAACTTACAGCAATACTCCTCCCTCAGTCTCCCAAGTGCTGGGATTACAGGCATTTGCCACTGTGCCTGGCTGGTTTCTCTCTTTGTCCAGCTTCTTCATGTCTATTTACCTGCCCCAAATGGCTCCTTCTGAGCCATTCCTGAGACAGGTTCCTTCTAAGATTCTTATTTCCCAGTCTTATTTATGTATGCTTTTTCTTGATTTAGGAGCTTCTCTTCTCTCCAGCTCATGTTACTACCTAGGTCTAGGTCCTGATATCTCACACCCAGATTCTCAAATATTCTGATGCTGCCTTCGAGCAGTCAGTCCACTAACTATGTCACCTCCTTTAAAACTTTTGTGAGGTCAGTAGTACAACATTTATCACCATATAGAAGGCTCCTACTTCAATCTCTAGCACCTCAATAACAACAAAGAAAGAGGCGTTATCTACAGGGGGAGACTCAGTGTCATGCCTAAGACCTCTATAGCCTTGTTTTCCCTCCATTCTTTCTGTATTTGTGTGTTGTGAATATAGTGGCTATGATGGTACATCTTCTTTGAAAGCTTTCCTGACTCTTCCCATACCCTCCCTCAAGTACTACACAGAGTTCCTCTTTGCTGAGCTGGACCTGAGTTTTAACAGGCTTCAGAGTGCCTGTTTTTGTTTTTGTGTTTTTTTTTTTTTTTTCCTGCAGTGCTGAGAATCGAACCCATGGCCTCATGCATGCTAGACAGGCAGCCTACCACAATGCTATATCCCTACCCCTGTCAGATTACCTTTGATGACTTGTACTCATGTCCCAGGTGGAAGAGCTTCGTGCTTATGTTTGGTCTTAACATATATCAGCATTTATGGAATGAGAGATGGACAAAGGATCCTCCTCCCCACAGATATACCATGCTCAGTTGAATGTTTCTAGAGCATCTTATGGCATGGAAAGAAACCCTGAAGGAGAGGCCAGTGGGCAGGTGGAACAACCTTGACAGGTCGTGACAACCTTGTCTTGGTTGTCTCTGTCTCTAGGTTCTAGTGCTGAGAGCCGGCGACAATCCACTGCCTATAATGGGGACCTCAATGGGCTCCTGGTCCCAGATCCCCTCTGCTCAGGTGATGGTACCTCAGCAAACAAGCCTGGTCTTCGGACCATGCCACCGATTAACTTACAAGAGAAGCAGGTCATGTGAGTATCTGGGAAATGGCAGTGGTGGTAATGGTGTCTTTGGGACATGTGCTAGCCAAAGGCATGAGATGAGGGGCAAGAAGGGCCAATACCTTCTGTTTTTCTCCTTCTGGATGACCTGGGACAAAACACT